TTGCATAAAGAGTATCTAAACGAGCTTCAAAGTAGAGTTAAATGAAAGCACCCGGTAGATACCAGCTATATTAGGCTTGCCATAATTTATCCAGCTTCTATCGGGACATAAACCATTTTTAAACTAAAAAATAAGTTTTTGTGAGAAATTCAAATTTGTAAAAAAAACGTTTAATTTATTAAAAATACACAACTTATAATTATAATACAATATAATATGTGTTACGGTCAAAGATGATATTTTGATCTTTAACGATATTGACCGGTCATTGTCGTAAATCTCCTATTCGATTGGGCATAATTGTTAATAACCGGCCAATTCGCTCCGTGCGCGACAGTAGCGCCAATTCGTTTTGATACTAATGGACTATTTCTGCGTACACTGACAAATGCAACTTTTAATACAATTCGTAATTAAAAAGTATATATGGTAGTTTTAATAAAAGTATATGGATTTGTAAAACAAGTAAAACATTAATTTATTAATATTATATATTTTTATCGCTTAAATTAAAGAAAATTATGTATAATCGATAAAAATGAATAATAAAATATAGGCAGGCAACAGTATTTACTGGAAATTGTATGAGAAGTTGCCTAAGTCTAATAAGTTTTCATTGAAGAATTACTCTAATCTGTCAAAATAAAAAAATACCATTTAATAATAGCTTCAAGTTAAAATGTATAAAAGAAGGATCATTACTTATATTTTCATTTTTGTTCGAAAGAAAACATAGAATGAATGATTAAAACTGATTTCCCATCATAATCAAAGGCAGAAATCTTGAAATCTAGTCCTTGCTGAATGAACATTTAAGAATAAGGGATATTAAAGAACATGGTAAAATGATAATTTATTGTTGATTTAAAACCTTTCAAGTTTCTGATGTTTACTATTTGCAGCATTACGGTTATTATTACAAAAATAAAGGTAATTTTTCTTCTTATTGTATATCTATCCATTTATTTCTTTGATTTAATTTCCACTTTGCTACTGAAATTTTTTATATAAGTTTCACTGTTTTTTTTTTTGCTAGTATTTGTTCAATTTTCAACACAGCAACTCCGGTTGCTTATTGTATTGTTTTTACCTACTTTTTAAAAAAAAAAGTAAAATGTATACGTGTATTTGATATGCCAAAATTACAAAATATCGCCCTAAAATGCACGAATTATCCGCAGCTAGCGCTAGTATCGCTTTTGCTTCCCTTTCCATGACTTCGCACGGAGCGAATAACGTAAACATCCGCTTAAATTGGACAATGTAAATAAACTATAAATGACAGCTTTTTTACGACTTTGCCCGGGCGTTATCGTTAGCGCCCACTTATGTGTGGGTCGCAAACCGCAACGATTTGGATTTGAATAAATACAGGGTTATGTTTTTGTTTACATCCCTATTCTCTGGCTTTCCGCGCGGGCGATTGATTGGATAGTTTCAAAGTTGAAAATAAAATGTTTCGCCGTGACTAGCAGTACATCGGATGTACACAAATTATTTGTATATCGGATGTATCCCCCATTATTTGTACATCATAATTCTAACCTAACTTTATTTCAGATGATGTAGTGGAAGACTTAAATATTTTTCTGTAGTATTTTATAAACCTTAGAAGCAAATTTCACATACATGAACAAATAATAATAATAATGCCATGACAACAAGAAGACGAAGCAACGAGTTCTCGTAGGGTGGTGGTTTCGCCGCCACCAGAAAATTTTAATCCATATCTAACTACGCCGACCGGCATAAACACCAATGGCCTGGACACAGCACACCTACTATGTCGAAAGGAGACCGTTGTACAAATAAAACACGTACATCTAATGTACTCCTAGTCACTGTCAAAAATTTTAAGTCACAGTACCAACTTAATTCTTTAAAATCAACTTCACCCACTTATTGATAGTCAATATCATTTATGGCCGGACAAAGAACAAAAAATAATATATTTTGTCAACATTGTGCACTTATTGATGGTCGATGTCGATAATGACCAGACAAAGATGCAAACAAAAAATATTATCAACATTGTCCACGATTAACGGGCATTTTCGTTACTGCTCAGATAATGACGTTATTGGCCAGCAAATATGACTGCTGACGTTAGTGTCCAGTCAATATCATCAATGCCCAATTTGCAATACTGACCGTAACATATACATACAAATGATATTAATATCTATACCTACATAATTAAAAAGATTTTACTTGTCTTAAAACTTTTTATTGATTTTTAATGTATTTATACAATTCCGCGCATGTCAGTTTAAAGTTATATGTATTGGCATAGAAAAATGGGCAATAATTTCTGGCACCAATTGGTTCCTCCCGTCTCGAAAAAATAATTTAGTATAAAAAATATTGATATATTTTGAAAAGGTCAAATTTTTTATCTAAATTTTCGGGTTCTTCAGAAACGAAACTTTTTGCAGTCTAGTCAGGACATGAAGGTCAATAACGGTGACAGTCCCGATATATCGGGACGAATGGCAACCCTAAGCTATATTCAAGTTGGCAAAGTTGTATTGGTGAAAGAAGAAGACAATCTTCACATGCAATGGGCGTATTGTAGAACTTCATCCCGGAACTGACGATATTACCCGTGTAGATAGTGTTAAAGTGCGAGAACAGGTGTTAAAAAGCGTAGCATTAAGAAAATTTGTGTTTTACCAGAAGACTTTTAACAAATTGATTTTATATGTCTATTGTAATCGTTTCACTTTATTGTTTAAATGTGGTTTTAGGTAAGTTGAAATATTTTATATATCAAGGCGCCCGTGATGTTTGCACAGAATTAGTTAAAATTTTAATACATCTCATGCAACATTATGCTGTCATTATGACGTGATTTTCTGGTATGCGTTACGTCATTTGATAACGTGAAAGTAACGTGAGAATGTCACAGCGAAATGACGTCATTCCATATCGTCATTTTGACGAATCGATATTACGTTAAAATAACGTGTATATCGGGTGTCCTAGGCTAGGCAAATTGACGTCTTTATCACGAATCTACCTAATGTCAAAGTGACGTCTATATTGGGTGTCTCATGGTTGGATGGAATTAGTAAAACTACTAAGCAGATGAAAGTTATTTATTTACTCCAAAAAACACATGAAAAATATATTATAAAAAATAAATTACACTGGTAAATAAAAAAAAGTCATTAGCAAGAAACCAAGAGAAATAAAATGAAAAAAGAATATTAGAGGAACTGACACAACATACCTAAAATTGTAGATTTGATTTTAATTGGGGGTGGGCGAGCATGCTTTACGATTTCATCATCTTCAGTATCATCGAATGACAGCTTTCTAGTTGGCACCTGTTTTCTTTTAGTAGGTACTTTATCAGCCTCGGAATGTAGATCTTCGACTTTTTTTAATTTGATACATCACTTATCATTATCATCTAAAATAAAAAACTATTAAAATACATATATATAAATACATAACTGAAAATTCCTTAAGATAGAAAGTAAATTGTGTATCTAGTTGTAAAATATTCACCGGAGATTGAGATAGTAGCCCCAAAAACTACCTTTTCAGAGGTATACATATAGTCATGAGTTTATAATAAAAGTTATCAAAAAAAAGATCGTATACTCTGTAAGATGATAAAAGGTATCTAAATCAAGTGACCCATTACAAATCTTTTATTTTTAAATAAACTATTAAAAAAATACCCTGAAAGAACTCATAATCAAAAAAATAAAAGTATAACATTACTCACCAGTCTTATATTATATTTCTTTATAAAGGCGGCAAAAAACTTTTTTTTTACGCAGCGTCTGCCATTTTCTGCTCACCTCATACCGCCAGACCGTCATCATCTGGTTTTTCAAACTCAACAATGCAATACATCTTAAAAATACCACATTCGGTTTAATATACTTTATTATTTTGTCACATTCTATTTTTTTACCTTTTTCTAAAACATCTTATCAAATAAAGGACAATTTAAAAATGCACCAAATTCACGAAGTCACGACTGTCACTCACGAGAATCATGAAGATAGGGAAACAGAAAACAACAATGACATTGCTAGAAATATGCGAAAAAATAACGTAATTATGACGAATTCTAAGTGACGTCTATTCTATGTCACCAATGCGACGTCAAATACAAGTTACTGATTAGGATATTGTATTTCGAATAAATGAATTCTAAAAAAAAATAATGACGAGTCTGTATTGACGTCTAATTAACGTTGCAAAAACGACGTCAAAGTAACGTCATTAATTGGGATAGTGGCGTTTCTGACGAGTAAACCCAAAAAATCACGTCATAATGACGGCACCTTGCAGCTTGGGATGTTGCGCCATCTCTCACGCGAGTGAAGGATGTAACGATATGTGGTGCGAAGTGCGACCAAGAAAACAGTTGAGAAACGAATCTCGAATGCGACGAGAGCGAAATTCCGGTGCTAGTCTGCACCACTTTATTACTTTTAATAAATCTAGTTAAAAGTAATTTCTAGCGTTTAATTTTAAAAGGGATCAAAATCGAATCAACAATGATCCTGTATAACATCTATCCATACCAATATTTATTTTCTTCAAGGGATTTGCTCGTAAGGAGTGAATTACAGGAAGAGTATTTTAATAATATATTTGTATATGCAACTCTTGTCCTTGTAAACAATATAATGCGTACTGCCACAATAAATAAAATAAAAATTGTGAAACATTTACCAAATTATGATAATTTATCGAATTAAATTTGGACACAAAATATGTTTTTTACGAATCAAATTGTTAGATTTAACTAAAAACATCCTTGGCAGTGACAATTTTTATTATTATAATCTTGTAAAATCGTAAATACATTATAAATATGGATAATTAAATAAATTTCAAATATAATTATCATAAATATTATAAACCCTAAAGGTGCTTATTATAAAAATTGTTTGAATTATTTTGATATGTAATAGGAACCACGAAATAATATAAATAAGAGAACCTTTTTTTATTGTATTTAGTCTGTTTAGAAGTGAAAAATAATATAATATTCAGAACAATGGCACAACCAGTAACCAGGATGGCAGGTCTCTTCCTTCTTTGCTTTGTAAGTAAATTCATCATTATTGAGCTAAAATCAAGAACGACAAGAAAGTAATAAACCAACAAATAATTTTTTTCTCTATTGTGTTCTTCTGTTCCATTTCTAAAAAGTAGAATCTATATAGAAAAATATATTTTTTGAAACGCTCCTAAATTAAAAAATGATGTACCTAGAAAGAGATTGTTAAATTTTTGCAAATCAGTTTTTTTACAGAAAATATCCTTTTTTTTTCGTTCAAAACTATTTCCAATATTCTAATTCGGAGAATTTAAAAGTTTAGGGTCTTCGTACCAAACCTACCAATGTCAATCTTTAGCCATTTTCCGGTGTTTTCATTTTCTAGAGGAAGGAATAAGTTATCTAAGACAGTGGATCTCAAAATTTTTTGACGACGGAACCTTTTTGAAAAGCGAAATATTTGACGGAGCCCTAAACACATTTCTAAAAAAAAGTCCTCAAGCAAAATGATATCCTCTTTCCTCTTAGTGACTTCTAGCCAGGTCACTCCCTTTTGTGGCGATAGTACTGGTTCTTTTTTATTATGACTATTATTTTCTTCGCGAAGCCCCCCACAAAGGCTTTGCGGAGCCCCAGGGCTCCGCGGAGCACACTTTGACTAACACTGATCTAAAATAAGAGAATTACCATTAAAAACAGACATTCATAATATAGAGTTCATTAAAGCAGGTTTAGATTCAGTCTGGAATCTGTTTCATTAGAGAAAAGTACAGATGCGTAAATAATTGCGGTCACAGAAACCAAATTTTGACTGTATTACCAACGCTTAGCAATACTAGCTTCAAAGACTGCTCACGTCATTTAAAAGATATTAGTGGCCATCCTATTATTTGTCTTTGAAGTTTGAGGTTGTGTTTGGAAGAATATTGCTATTTTTTTAATTTTAAAGACGTTAGTTTGTTTATATGCTACTGTATTTTATATAAATAATAATTATATAAAACCATTAGGCATAAAAAACGTATTGGTGTTGGGTAAAAATCTGATGTGTCCAACACATGACATTGCTATCCAGTTATTACATGCTTTTTCCAGTTATTTCGTATTGTATTACCTCTGTAAATGTTTAGAGGATAAACTAAATATATACATGTTCCACATACATCTTACTTGAAACATTTTTTTATATATATTCATTGCCAACGAAAATACTGAAAAAAATTTTACACCTTACGGTCCATTTTAAAAAAATCAAATTTCTTGAATACAGACACACAGAGACAGACATCATCGCGAAAATAGTCAAAACGGATTCTGGGGACCCCAAAACGTTAAAATCTGTCAAAAACTCGAAATCGAAAAATTTTGATTCCTATACTTTCCTTATCTCTATACAGATAGAAAAGTAAAAATGGTCCATAGTACCATAATAATGTGGAATATTAGTTTAATAATTAGAGCAATCCACAATATTTCCGGTTTCAACTATAGTAGTTCTGCTTTATCATTTTCACTTACTTAAAAAGTTTGCCTCTTTTAAGTCTGCACACTAGGTCCTGATGATCAAGGAGTATGTTTATAATGTAAAAAAGCACTTTTGATCCGTAATAAGGATTTTTTTTACGATCACTATCTAAAGTAGGCATTTGCACATACAAATCTAATGGAAAATTGACGTTTTCCGCGATTTGTCGTAACTTAACATTATTGGCGCTCCAGAGTGCCAAAGTTACTTTGGCGCTTGTTTATTTTTATTTCAGTAAATAAAAAAAGGGAGTCATTATTAATGCTAGTCAGAATTTTAAAACACAATGTAGACAAATCTGAATATTTTAGTTGAACATCCAACGTTTGTCCCTAAATTTTTAAATGACAATTGAAATAATAAAGAAATTTTATTCCGTTTTCAACTTGTAAACTTGAGATGTCTCGTTGGTGCAGGGAAAAGCGCCTTAGTTTTATAATTTCAAAAAAATTTTTTCAAAATTCATTTTCTATTTGTAAAATTAAAACATAAAACAATGGATGTGTCAATAATTTGCGATTATAGTATTCTAACCTATCTGAGAAAGTATTTTTGAGATGTACGTACTAAATAGATATTTTTCACTTTAATCAAAAGTTAAACTTTTAATCTGCACGGAAGTAGGCATCACAACATATACACAACACGCACTTCGCTGGTCAAGTTAGTGATGTCTGTAAATAAACAGAGGTGCGTCGCGGCAAATAGCTCTTTTTAACAATCACTCGATATTATCAAATTCATATTGTACTACAATCACTGATCTGTAAAATAATACAGATCAGTGACTACAATATTTATTTGGCAGAGATGGTTAACGAAGCGTGTGATATGTGTATGTTGTGTTGCCTACTTACGTGCAGATTAAAAATGTGATAGGGGAGACCCGGGAGACTTTGGACACGGGGAGAGAATAGACGCATTTATATTTTCCGTAAGGCATGTTACACATGAGTTTTATTTGATTCCTAATATGTCTAAGTAGCCATTACATTATCAGATGGTAAAAAGTAAAGAAAAAATATTAATTTTCGATAAATCTGATGTAAGTTTGACTTTATTATTGGAAGGCTTATTTTAACAATGGACGTTTTGTTTGAACTGATGTTTGTTTGTGGTGCTGCTTAGATGTTTTTAATTAAAAAAAAAACACTAAAATGTCATACGTCTTCATTTATCATTTTTTAAATTATTTGTGTGTATACTGAGTAGACTATGGGCAGGAGAGTCCGAAGTCTCCTACATGGAAATTTACAAGTATTTTGTTAAAAAAAAAAACGGTTCCTCAGATATGGCCGACATATTTTCTTGTTTGAACACCCGATACTTTAATATTGGCTTGACAGAGTTTAGCTTGGTATACATTTTTCAGTTATATTTTTAATTTTTTTATTTATTTTTGGGAATAAGGTCAAAAGTTACGCATCTATATTTAGTTAAAAATTTCAGTAAGCAAGAAAACATTTTTATTTTAAATTTGCATAAAAAATAAGTCATTAAAAACATATTTAATGTCCATTTTCTCCCTTATACCAGGGGGTCAATTCTCGACTTTTATTCCCATGGGAAAATAAAATTTTTCCATGGGAATTCAGTTTTCGTATTCTCGACATAAGCAGTGGAATATTTTCCAATGAGAAGTATGGGAAAATATTCACCTGCTTACGAGCATTGTAAATTGTGTTTTCCAATGGGAATTGTACTAGAGTTTGCGCATTAAAGTCGATAATTTGATGAAAGACCACGCGAAAGTCTAAGACATAACCAAAAATTATTGGATATCTTGGATTTTTAGTAAAATTGTAGTTAAAACATTTTTTTGGCGTATTTATAGATTGATATTATTTTATTTATGTAGGTATATTATTTTTAATTCTCTTTCACTAAGAAACTATATAAACTTATTTTCCTAAATCATTTAGAAATTGTGGGAGCTGCTAAGGGACTGGCAAATAACACAAATTGAGTGTAGTAAATTTAATAAGACCTTTTCGAAAATTTTATTATTTTCGTTAATGAAAGAATTTCTTAGTTTCTCAAAACTTTCGTTGCTCTTCCATACAAAAGCTACCTTTTCTTTTTTCAACATGAGAAAAGAAAAACTAAGAATAACTCGACGAGTTTTAATTATTATACGTAATCACTACGTAATCGAATATTTTCACTTATTCTCGATCATGATAGCGATTGCTCGGCACGGCACCTGCTCCAGCGCAGAGGCTCGGCAGGTAATCGGATACCCAAAAACCACAACAAATACAAATATTGCCAACAGTAAATTTTAAAATATCTTTAATTTTATTGGTTGTTTCGAAATATTCGTGAACTTAATATCAGACATACGTGAAACTACTATTTCCATGGGAATGTCTATTCCGACACGTTCGAGAATTGCATAACCTATTACCATGGGAATATAAGTAGTGGAATATTTTCTTATGGGAAAATTTTCCAATGATCTCGAGAATCGAGCCCCAGTTCACTCCCCCATAGAAAAGCTGCACGGTTGTCTTTTAGATACAATACTTATGTTTGCAATTAGATTTTTGCAATGAAAATTTCTGACGGAGCACAAATAGAAGTCAAATTTGGTTATTTATGTATTTTAGGGATATAGGTATTGTAGGTGGTATAGATATTTTTTCTCTTTCGGTACAACAAAGGGACTCCTGCAACCGAAGCCAGGGAACAGACCCAATTAGTTGTATGATACGCTTTAATTTAAGATTATTGTATATTTCAATTAAAATGTTATACGCATTTAAATATTATCACATTATTCGCATAATTTCACAACGTCGATTATTTAATAAATGTCACTAAATTTAGTTCTAAATGCCATATAAATATTTGCGACTTGTAATAAAAATCGCCATGAAACTCTATTATTTTCATGAATTATTTATTTGATTTAATTGAGGTATTTAAATATTACATTGAATATTAAAAATCAATGTAGGATGTTACGAAAAATGCTTAAACAACTTTTATTTGTATCCTCTTATTATAAAAAATTTAACCGATTTTGGAATGTATTGGTCTGGCTTTAATTTTTTTAAAGTGATTAAAGCACACAAGCCTTCTCACCACGTCAAAGTTACATTCATAGAGAAGGTAAACAGGAACAATACGATGTTCCTTTCCAAAATAACGTAAACCAATAGATACGTGGTTACGTTTAATAACGTAAAAATGTAACGAAAATGGAAAATCAAGTCCTATATCATCTAGATGTGTCATTCAGGTTTATAATGCAAGAATGAGCCGGAAATAATCGATACTTATTTTTAATTTTGGTAATATGAAGAACACAATTGGACCCTAATTCTTGATATATACCACCAACAACTTCTCTGATAACATCATAAACGCTTTCAGAAAACGCAGGATTGCCATTTTTTTTTCTGACCTCCCTTTCGATGTTACTGCAAATTAATTCTATTGCATTAAATGTATAATAATATGGTGTCAAGCGTATTACTGTATGACCGAATGCCGTAGCCATTTCATTCACAAAATAGCTAGGTTTAAAATTTAAGTATTTCAATATAGCAAGAAAATCTTTTTTAAAGCTGTAGGTGGATATGATACACTCATTTTGTCCAAAAACGCGAAAATTATCTCTTTTCGAGCAATTGCTTTAGGAATTTTACTAGTTTGAAGAGATTGGTAAGGGCATTATTCATTACTATTGCAGCATTTGGTGGCAAATTAGGAATCAATTGTTTACCAAACCTTTTCTCGAACAAGGTAGATGTAACATCTTGGTGATAATTACAGTAGTAGTGAATGACATTTTCTACGTTTGAAAAGTACCTCGTTTTACTCTTTTTACTCGAAGCTGTTCTTTTAATACATCTGTGGCTTCTCGATGGGATTTGCTTCGTGGCCTTTTAATACAGAGCTGGTAAGTCGAGTAAGGTCTATTTACTTCGAATAAAATTTTAGAGCTTTTGGAGTAAATCTAATTTCTGTGACAATTGACAATGTAAGAAAGCAATTGAAGTTAAAGTCGAAGTTGTAGCTGTAATGTACATAGAGTCGTTGGTTGTCTCTTGTGACGCAGTTTATTGTTTTTCATATTATTTACATATTTGGCTATTAAGATCAAAAAATATTTATAAAAAACGTCAGATATAAATGAGAACATGATAAAAGTGAAAAATACCATAGTTACAAATTAACTTTACTTAACAACAAAAACCACGAGATAAGAGATCAAATTTGATTTAAAAGAAAGGTATAAGTTTGTTATTTTAATGAAAACCGGAAACAGGAAACACAAACAAATCCATAGCCGTTCTTTTATTCCACATAAGCTCGATTTGCTCGATGATCACGTGACTAAAAAATCTACTAGCTCTACTCCGCTCCAGGATGGACTTTTCGCGTAGCGATTGAAGTCGTGACAAGACAAAATATTATCCTGGAAACAAAAAAAAAAAATCGAGTTAAATTATAAATGCCCTTATTCCCTTATATAAAAAAGATGATGCTATTCGAGGCATAAGAAAAAAGAAAACTGTTTCGCAAGTTACAAATGACACTTGTTATTTTAAACTGTGTCCAATCGCTCCAAGTTGAAAGAATATACAGAGTGTAAAATAAAGATGGATCTATATGGGATTTTTTTTATTATTACGATTGAAAAAAAAATGTCGTAGGGCAATCAAATAAAACAAGTTCCTGAAATATTTGATTGGAAGTAACTACGTACAAAATAATGATGACCAGAACCATTTTATAAATAATCAAGTCAAAATTAAGAAAAATCTGTATGCATTACGTTACGAAATTTCGGTTTGTGTAACTTGTTTATTTTACGGGACCTAGATTCACTCGTCCCGCAATTATTTACTCGTTACACAAAATGAAGCATTTCCTAACTGGGTGCATAAATTGTTATTTGAAAAACAATTTCTGAAAATATTATCGCTCAGAATTTTATTTTTTGTGATAAAAAGTCGCCGTTACTTGTCATTGGGAACGCATTGACATTGGACTTAATTGTGAAGTTGTAAAGCTTTCTATACTCGTATGATAAGCCCCATCTATTCATGTCCTTTCATAAATGTCTCAACAAGAAACCTTTTGCACCTCAGTAAGTTATCTTATCTGACTAATACCTAGTGTGATTTATTTTAGATTTGTTTGGCAGTAGCGCAAGATCAAGCACGTTTTGCGGAGGCTATGGCAAAATTTGAAAAAGTGAATGGATACGACGAGTGTCTAAAATCAAGTGGAGCAAAAAAGGAAGACGTCTTCGCTTTTCCACCAAAAGACACCAATGAAGTTTTATGCTTCTTAAAATGTATTATGGAGAAAAACGGATTGTTAAACAGCGATGGTTCTGTAAAAACAGAAGAAGTAGGGAAATACTTTAAAGATCAATTTGCAGCCGAACAACCTGAAAAATTTTTTGAAGTTGTAAAGAAATGTACTGACGGTCTTAAAATAGTGGATTGCGGAGGTATAAAGACCCTTAACGATTGCATGTTCGCTGCGTTAAAATCGCCTTAAATTTTAAATTAATACGCTTTTTGTAGTATTTTTTCTAAGTTTCACCTGATATGTTAATTTTCTTTAGTATTTACACACTTTCAGTAACTTGTGAAACATTTTTATTTTCAAATGAAATAAAATTATTTACTCGCCAACTTTTTGACAGAATATTTTTATTTTAAAACCAAACACCTGTTCCTCCTGCAGAAATATTATTCTTAAGGTACCATTTCGGAACGCGCGATAGACAACAGACGCGACGGCAAAGGAGACAGATGCATTTACGTTACGCTTCACACATTTGCGAAGCAAGGAGACAGGCGACCCGACAACCGCAGACGACAATTCGAAGGAACGATCAGTGGTTGCCGGACCTACTGTTTTAAAGTACACTATTTTTGTTTCTGTTCTCCTGTTTTAGGCATAAAATCTACTGTTTTTGCCAACTTAACAAATTTTGTTCTTAATTTATTAAGTTTGCCTCAAGAACCTCAAGATAATCATTGTTTTTATTTAAAATGCAACAAAGAATTAATAGGGCATCATAAAAAGAACATGACGTGCATGCCAAACACAACGTATTTGAATTATCTGATTCAGACTGATCTAAAAAAAATACCTATTATATTTTATTGTTTTCTTTTTTGTTAAAGGACGTTAAGTATATTTAAAAAATAAATTATTTTTTTCTATTCTTTGTTTACTTTCTAATTTTGGTAGAAAAATGTTCATTTTCCGTTTCTTATATAATTTTTTTTAATCACTGTAATAAAATCTACTGGTTCAGATCTATAATTTTTTTTTACCCATACTGTTCCAGCAAATTTTCATCTGGCAACACTGCCCAGGGTAGAACTATTTACCGTCCGTCAGACAGACTGGTTGCTACTGACGTGGCTGTGCTAGACAAACTCGATGTCCTAAGTGGTTCTGAAAATCTGATTATAGAAGGTGATTTCAATTTTCCAGACATTAAATGACCAATAACTTCTATACCTGACACGCAGAATGTTACCAATTAGTTCATTGAATTTATTCACAAATCTAGTTTTGTTCAACTAATAACCCAACCCACGAGATTTAGAATAAATCAGGAACATTCTACCCTCATTCTACTACTTACCAATGATGAACAACTCTTAACCCCACCGGTGTATCTCCCACCAGTTGGAATATCTGATCATGCAGTCATAACGTGTCGTTTACAATTTCAATCATTATCTTCTTGCACATCCAATCACACTATCTTCTCACTCACCAACTTTGCTGAAGTTTTTTTCCTATCTAGACCAACTAGACTGGATTTATATTATATCTGAAAATAATGATCAAAACACGGTTAATGATTGTGTGAAATCTCATACTAAAAACAAAATAAATAGAAGAACAAATCTGAAACTCTGGATAAATAATTAACTACTGTCTATAGTAAAACATAAGATAGACGTATGGAAAAAATTTAAGCGAATCACCAATAAGAACGATTTCTCTGCTCATCGACTATTCTCCAATCAAATAAAGGCCGCAGTTATTGAAGCAAAGCATAACTATCAGGAATACATCGCTAACTGGGCTGATAGCAAAAAGTTCTCTAAAAGGGCAGTAAGCTTGACCCAAATAACTATAAACTGATAAGCATTGTACCAATAATTTGTAAAGTAATGTAGTCCATAATATGTGATCTGAATTTCTCGTAAACGAACGTGTACTTTCCACCCAACAACATGGATTTATCAGAGGACGATCTACCTTAACTAATATCCTGCAGTCTGTCAATGACTGGACAAAAGCCTTAGACGCTGGTCTTCCTACAGATGTTATATATCTGGATTTTACTAAAGCACCGATTTCTCAAAAAAATTGAACACCTGGGAATCCGAGGCAATATTTTTTATATAGAGTAAATAAAAGGAAAACGAAAACAAATAACAATAATTTATTTCTAGTAGTAATAAAATTAATTGTACATGTTTTATAATAAAATTATTAATCAATGTAATCAAAACAAGAGATAATATAAAATATAGTAGGTACCTAACTATTCGTAACAGACATATTTATTAACTTTACAAGCAGAACACAATAGCTTATTTTGCTTCAACTAACTGATTTTGTTGAAACTTGCTGCCAATATCAACATATCCAATATATTTTTGGCGAGTCCATTCCACCCTTTGCATAATCGCCATTTCATCCATGAAAATATTTAAAAAAAACCTTTTTATAACCTTTTTGACTTTCTCGCCTTTAAATTTCAATGCTCTTCAGAAAATCCAGGAGAACCATCAACAGCCTAATGTCACTTTGATAAAGTACAGGGATGAGGGAGACAATTGTTAAATTTTTCCCGTACATATGTATAAGCTTTCATACTGTAGAAGCTTAAAGTTAGTGCTAACGCTCTTAATTCAGGGAAGTATTTTGTTCTGGAATGATCTTTAATTGCTCTCTTGACCAATTCCTTAGATCCACTTGCAAGAGAAGCCTAAAAAATAAACTAATTTGACCCAAAATAACATATATAAATAAAATGTTTCCTCATCATTAAAAACATTTATGAATATTACTGGAATTAATTCTTACATCCACAAGTATATCTGTACTTTTTATAAAAGAATTATTTTTTATATATCCTATCATACTATTTAAAGATTCCAATATACTTTGTAAAAGATATTTTCCCCAAGTTTTTCAATTATATTTTTTTTTTGGCATAGAATCTTCTTTTGGACAAGCGCTAATTTTCTATAAAAAAATAACTAATTTTTTTTCTTAAGCATTGCTTTCCTGAAATCATAATAATACTTGATTATACAAGAAAATATCTTATTTGACCTTAACAAACCTTCGTTTTTCTTTTTTAAGTTCTCTTTCCCTTTTAGAATGGAGCTTACAGATATTCTGGTTTTAGGTGATGAGTTTATCAAATTTTAAACAATGTTTTTTCTTTTAAAGAGAGTTAAAGATTGAAGTTCCCTGTCTTGCATATTTTCGTCCCTACAAATGAAATGTACATAAAATGTATTCTGTAGATTTTTAATGATATACATTTAATTAAATTTCAAAAGTTCCAAAGGCTATTATTACCAGCACCTGTTAGGCTTTTAAAAATATAAGAGCTAAAATCATACCTTTTCATTAGCCTTCTTTCTTTTCTAATTTCAATTTTCAATTTTCAATGTTGGGAACTGCAGGTAAGGGCATATTTTCTTTACTGTTGTTATTTGTATGCCTGTAAACAATAATGTAATAATAATATATATGTCTAGTATTTAACAAAATAAGCCACATATATGAATATATGTGTTTAAAAAAAATGGAGTTACAATGAAAACCTCTTTTAAATATAACAGATTCAACTCACTCATTTTTAATATTTATTCTAATCGTTGCTTTCATTCTTATAATTCTTATACAAATATACTTATAGTGAATTTGTAGTTAATTTATTATAGTAACATTTTTGTCCCGATGCTCATGCAGAGCAGGACTTCAAAAGATAAAAGAAGAAAAAGTAAATTTTTCATGCCTAGGCAGTAAAAGTGTTACTTCTATGATCAAGAAATGTTACTAATAGTGATATTTAATGTTAATCGGAGAAAAAATGTATTCAAAAGTTTTTATTTCAAAAATAATAATCCAATTAGAAGTTGAATCTCTTTGCTTTAGCAAAATAATTTTTTCTAACTTAGAACCCAGTTGATTTTCAGAATTTTTCGTTCAATCAAGGTACTTTAAAATTCATTGTTTTTAAAATACAATGTTTTCATACATTTTTGTCATTATTTCACTAATGCAAAGTGACATTTAACTTCTGTTTCGATTATTATAAATTTTGAAACAAGCAAACCTTTTATGAACAATAACATTTTTTCTAAAAGGTGAAAATTAAAAAGTTTCCCGCTCTTTTTCATTCCATGTATGTCCATTTTAGTCCACTCTATATATATGCGTGTATTGGAAAGTGTTCAATAGCCGACCCTATATATGGTAAATAACTTTTTTGTTATCTTTTATAATAATGGAGATATCATCCGCTACCACTCTAAAAACGAATTCTGTATAATCAAATAAAAATAAGAATAAAGAGATTTTGCAAGATACTTAAGATCAGTCACTATTAGCGCGGCTCTTATTTTGATATGAGTATACGCAGATCGTTTATATTCTAGAACTGACTTTAATAAGGATTATCTATGACCTTAATTGTGGATGTTTAAGGGCAGCAGATAGTAGCGACTTTATAGCTTTCACGTGCGCTAGCCGACATTCGTATTAGTTCGAAGTTTTTTAATATTGAATATTTAATATCATCGTCATCTAAATCTTCTAAACTGATAATTTCTAATGCCTCTTCAATATTATGTACCTTCTGTTATAGACAACAAAAAAAACTGTAATTTAAAATATTTAAAGTGAGGTTAGAAATATGTATAAGGACAATGACTCTACTGTTAAAATTTCAGGTTTGCAATTTAAACATATAATTTATTTGCCTCTTATTACTTTGTCACTATTAGTGGCTGATGTTATACAAAGTTGCAATATCTTTCTAATAAAAGAGAATTTACTTTATTGACCTTTAAATAATATTAATTTATTAATACATCGATTAGCATAGTGTCAGCTTAAGGCGTAGTGGTCTTTAACGTGATTATCCAGTTTTCAGAATAGATTACTATTCACCAACATACTATCGAACATTTTTCAATACGCTTTGCACAAATCCATGTAGAAACTACAGAGAGATAGCATTAGGGCGAGCTGGAAACGAATATCAGCGCTCCCTGTTTATATAGCCCGGCTAAGCTTACAATACAATATAACAAAACATAATTAAATGAAACAAGAACTTAAATCATTGCAAAGTTGAAACGTTAAGAAATACAAATTTTATCGAAATCAACAAAAATAAAAAAATATGGTATGCATTAAATTTTGAATAAAATTAGCTTTCAAATGAAGTGCCACTCGCGCAATACGTAACAGTTTTGTATCCCGCTAGCGGGCATTAAAATCAAGAGTAATGCAATAAATAGTCATATTGCCGAATT